AACAATATTCTGTCTATAGTCTTGTGCCTCAGTCTTGGTCTCCAAATCCTGCACCTTACTTTGAAACACCACTAGCTCCTTTCCCTAATGGTTTTGTGAATAGCTTTAATTCACCTGGATCTTATAAAACAAATGCTGCTGCTGCTGCTGCTGCTACTACTATGACTATGAGTCGACCATTCCCCAAAAATCACGTGAAGCCTCATTTTAGGTCTTCCAGTGGTTCAGAACACTCAGCAGACGGCTCTGTATCATTGGGGGATGGACCATTAAATAGATCTAATTCGAGAAACTTTCCAGCTGAACGACATAACCTAACAGTAACAGGACATCAGGAGCAAACTTACCTTCCAAGAGAGACTCCCACTTTGCAGATGGAACAGAATGGAGACAATGGTAGAGGCAGGTAAGGAAATATGGTTACATAAAAATTCTTTAACAGTAGTAATAACATCATCCTGAGTGTTGGGAGACCATAATCTGGTGGTATTTTGATTTTGCGTCTTAGTTATTTGTACATTGTTTGCATAGCATAGGTTTATGCTGTCATGTTAAGATCTAGAGTACGTCCATGGATTGTGGCTCATAATCAAAAGTTTATAAAAATATTCCTAAATTCTTTACAATTCACTGAAGATAGGACCGTTTAGAAGAGATAGCCTTATCGTTTAATTTCTTCCATCATCTCAACTATGGGGATGAGATTATATATTGTGTACCTTGCCAAAACAAAAAGCTAGAATTGAATACTCTTCTAGGGTTACAGGATTGCTCTTAATAAAAATTGACCTAGTTAGTTATTGGTGGTGATTACAGATTATTAGCTTAGGGTACCCTATGAAGAAGTGACATAGTTACTTATTGGTTTTGGTTATAGGTTCCCTTTGTCTTTTAATAATACTGGAAGAATAACTGCCTGAGATTAAAAGTGTGAACACTTTAATTGCAAAGGGTGATAATTTATTTGGAGGCTTGGATTGAGAGGGGTATATATTTGAAGAAACTTAAAATTGTTCCCTTCCACTTTTTTTTTTAAAATAAACTCTTGTTTTTATAAAAGGAAAACTGTCTCCCGAGGTCGAAGACGACGAGAAGATGACAGAATCACTGTAAGTATTTTTACCTTTAATTTCATTTCCTCAGGCTTTTTTCCTTCTTTTAGTTGAGATTGTAATACATGTTTACAAAGAACTTGGATTTCCATTTATTTGTTGTTGTACTTTTTCCTCCCTGCATACCACGTTCCCTCCCCGCCAAGTTCACGTTTCTCTTTGTGGTTTACTATGAGATTGGCTTTATAGTCTGTCTTCCCTTAATACTGGGTATTTTTTTTTAAGTTTTTATTTTTATTGAATATAGTAGTTTGGGCAGAATATTAAATGATCCAACAAGTATTAAAAGAAGATGGGAAGAGTATACAGAGTCATTATACCAGAAGGAATTGGCAGACACAGAAGAATTTCATGAAGCAATGTATGAGCAAGAGCCTGTGGTGATGAAGGAAGAAGTTCAAGCTGCTCTGAAAGAATTGGCAGAAAACAAGGCCCCAGGAGTTGATGGCATACCAATTAACATATTTCAACAAGCAGACCTTGCAATGGATGTGCTCACCTAGTTGTGTCAAGAAATCTGGAGGACAACCACCTGGTCTGCTGACTGGAAAAGATCTCTATTTGTTCCCATTCCAAAGAAAGGTGATTTGACAGAGTGCAGAAATTACTGAACAATATCGTTAATATCACATGCAAGTTAGATTCTGCTGAAGATTATCCAAAAACAACTGGAACAGCACATCAGCAGAGAACTTCCAGAAGTGTCGGTTGGGTTTAGGAGAGGCCACAGTACTAGGGATATTATAGTTAATGATAGGTGGATCTTGGCTGAAAGCAAGGAGTACCAGAGAATGTCTTACTATGTTTTGTTGACTATGCAAAGGCATTTGATGGTGTAGGTCACAATAAACTATGGCTAACTCTGAGAAGAATGGGAATCCCAGAATACTTGATTATGCTTATGTGAAACCTATACTTGGACCAGGAGGCAGTTGTCAGAACAGAGCAAGGAAATATTGCATGGTTCAAAATTGGGAAAGGTGAACGCCAAGGATGTGTCCTATCTCCATATCTTTTCAATCTATATGCGGAACAGATTATCCAGGAGTCTGGGCTCTATGAGGAGAGATATGGCATCAGGAATGGAGGTAGACTCATGAACAGTCTGTGTTATACAAATGACACAACCCTGCTTGCTGAAACTGAGGAGGACCTGAAGCATTTGCTGCAGAAAATCAAGGACTGCAGCCTGATATATGAATTAAAGCGCAACACCAAGAAAACAAAGATTCTCACCACTGGGCCTATTGGCAGCATCATGATGGATGGTGAAGAGATTGAGATTGTCAGCAGCTTCATTTTGCTTGACTCTACAATGAACACTCTTGGTGCTGGCAGCTAGGAAATTAAAAGACTAATTGCATTGGGAAAGTCTACTGTCAGTGACCTTTCCAAAGTACTGAAGAGCAGCTATGTCAGTCTGGAGACTTAAGGTGCGCCTGCTACAGACCATGGTCTTTGCAATTACTTGCTATGCATCAGAAAGCTGGACAGTGAGTAGGATGATAGAAGGAGAGTTGATGGCTTTGAGCTGTGGTGCTGGAAAAGTGTATTGAATATACCATGGACTGCTAGAAGAACAAATAAGTTTGTTCTGGAGAAGGTGAAGCTAGGCTACTCCTTGGATGCAAGGATTCTGAAGCTTCATCTGACATACTTTGGACATATTGCAAAGTAGAATCAGTCTTTGGAGAGGGACGTCATGCTTGGAAGTGGAGGGACAGTGGAAGACCCTCGATTGGTTTGATTTACTGGCGTAATGGGGGTAGGTGTAAAAGTGACAGTAAGACTGGCACAGGATAAAGCAGGGTTCAGGGTTGTTGTTGTACGTAGGGTTGCTATGAGTCACAGGTGACTCAAGTGCACATAACAACAACAACCACACTAACAACATAGTAGTAGTTTTGTGAAGGTAGAGTACAGAGTTGACCATAAAATCCCAAAATGTCTACCATAATCACTACCCACCACCCATTCTCAAGCACACACAAGTTTACTAAAATTAATTGAATAGTTCATATATTTGCAGAGTTTAAAAGTATTTAATAAAGTTTTCAAAATGTCTTTAAACTTGCTGTAATACCAGTGTAATATGCTCACTTTTTATAATTTAATCCTATATTCATTTTAAAAGAACAAATTTACTGCTGTTACTCTGTTCATGGTTGTTAATTAAATATCATCTTTTCCTATTACCATGAATACAGTGATAAACCTCATAAAACCAGCATTTCCCATGTTTTCAATTATATCTGAAGGAGATTTCCACAACTGGGATTAAATAAGCAGAAAGAAAGCTTTCTGTTGTCAACTCAGTTCCAACTGCTAGCAAAGCTAGGACTTTGTAAAGCTATCATCTATTCAGAAGCAGATTGCCTCATCTTTTTCCCACAGAGCAACTGATAGATTCAGACTACCATTCTTTTGTTTAATAGCTGAACTCATGATCATTGGTCACCAGAACTCCTTAGAAATGGGATTTCTTTTTTTTTTGGTTTTTTTTTTAGAAATGGGATTTCTTGATCACAATTTGTTGTTGCTTTCTATAAAAATTATGTCTTAATTACTACTCTCATGAGTAATAATTAAGAAAATTTCTTTGTAGCAATGAATGAATGGAAATCCAAAATCTCTGTAAATGCTCATTAAAATTATTTTTAAAAATTTCTTAAATGTCAGATATATAGCCTGGAGGAACAGAACAACTTTGTGCTAAAAAATCAGATTATTGGACATATTGTTTGAAATATCCGAAAGAAATATAAGTGGTGATGACCAATAGATAAATCAATAGCATGGTTTCATGTAAAAGGCTGTACTGAATACTGAATTCAGAAATTTTTGACAGATTTACTAAGTTGTGCATCCACAATAAAAATGCTTGATCAGAATATTGCTGTCATCACTATTAGCTCAAATACTATTTTAATAACTAACTTTAAATAGTGGTTATTACCCAGCAGAGTATGGAAAGTCAAAAGAGTAACAACCAAATAGAAAAGACCACAAAATATCAAAATTTTAAGTGTACAGGGAAGAGCACATGACTCTCATATTTGAGAAAACCAGTAGAAAAAAAATCCTGAAAGCTTAAGGGAGGAATGAGTTCCCAAAAGAAAATTACTAGCATGCCAAAGAGAGAGCAGGGTAGAGTTTCACATTTTGCATTGTGGCAGACATTGACAAAGCAGTTTTAGTGGGTATTGAATACAGAAAAGGAAAGAGAAGAGCCACAAGTGATACATACAGTGGATGGAATGTATATGGTAGAATGAATGAAAAGGGGGTAATTTTCAAATGTTAGAAAATGGGGGAAGGACACTTTTTTCTCTTGAAACTATGGAAGGGGAAAAATAATGGAAAATTAGGTACGATGATTTTTTTTCCTTTTCTAATGGAAAGGAGTTTCACAAACTTAGATAGCAAAGAGTAGTGGAAATTGATTCAAAAGTTTATTTATGGTTAAGGAGTGTGTCAAGGAAGCAAGAGAAGGGGAGCTGACTACAGATAAGTAGGATTAATAAAGAACAATGACTATTCAATTGAGATGAAAGGCTAGGACTATTAGTGGGATAATCTTGTATATTTTGTGTATGGAGGGGTTTTTTTCTTTTTGCTTGTTTTCTTAAAGCCTTATGCTACTATGATAAAGAATTCAAGAATGAGCTAAGTGTATGACAAGTTTTGTGGTGTGTGTCTTTTAGAGACCCCCTCCAACAGCTGAAGCAAAGGCTCCAACACCAAAGTTTGACCTGTTAGCCTCAAATTTTCCTCCTTTACCTGGAAGTTCATCAAAGACACTGGGTGAACTCTCTTTGGAGAGCAGGATGTCTGATATCGTTAAAGGTGTCTACAAAGAAAAGGTAAACACAGATGTCTTTGATATGGTTTTCTCTCCTCTCTCAACTCATTGACAAAGAATTGATTCTGACTTTTCTACTTTTGGAGCTCTGGTGGCCTTGTGGTAAAGAGCTGCACTGCCATCCTGAAGGTACACAGTTTGAATCTACCAGCTGCTCTGTGGGGAATAGATGAGCATTCTCCTTCCTTGAAGTTTACTGCCGCTGAAAACCCACCGGAGGGTCAGCTATGGGTCAGTTACAACTCAACAGTACATAATAATAACTGACCCCTTTTGACAGGGTAGAACAGTACAAAGCATAATTGTAAGCCACTGGATGTGTTTAAACTGTTAACCTTTAGGTTGGTAGACTCTGTAAATAGCCTAGGCAAAAGGATTAAGTTACTCAAAGGCAAGATTAAATGTTCTGGGGTTCCCATTATACTGTTACGATGCATGTAGTCAAATGCCTTTGCATAGTCAGTAAAACACAAATGTACATTGTTTTGGTATTCTCTGCTTTTAGCTAGGATCCATTTGACATCAGCAGTGATATCACTAATATTACATCATCTCCTAAATCCATCTTGTCAGGTAGCTCTCGGTCGCTGTACTTGTTGTTTCTGCTGTTTTTGGATGATCTTCCATAGTATTTAGCTTGCATGTGGTATTAATGATAACTCTTTCAGAATTTCCACATTCTGTTGGATTACCTTTCTTGGGAATGGGAACATACAGGAAATCTCTTCTGGTCAGTTGGCCAGATAGTAGTCTTCCAAATTGGTTTAGCACAGATTCATGAGCACACCCAGGGTTGCATCTGTTAAACTGTATCAGGTGATAAAACATCGATTCCTGGGGCCTTATTTTTTGCTGGTGCTTCAGTGCAGCTTGAACCTCTTCCTTTCTTACCATTGACTCTTGTTCATATGGTACTTCTTGAAATTTTCCATTTTAAAAATTTTGGTACATTTACTCTACTGTACATTTGGTACATTTACTATAGTCTTTCCGTCTTGTTTTGATACTTTCTAGATCATTCAAGATTTTGCCCATAACATTTCTCAGTATTGCAGTTCAAGGTTTGAATTTGTATTTCAGTTCTTTCACCTTGAGAAATGCTGTGTTCTTCCTTTATTTTCTCACTAGAAACATATCATGTCTTATTATTGTATACCAGTGATTCAAAACAGACCCATAGCTGGACTCTACAGTGCAATTTTCATAAGCATGTTAATCACTTCGGTGATTTCCCATCTTTTTTTTTAGAAGCAGCTATTGAATTCGAACCATGTACCTTTATATTGGCAGTTCAGTCCCTTACCATAAATAATTGTAAATACAAAATTTAATCATTCTATCTCCAGCTTAATTTCTGTCCCCAAGTCTATATTTTCCAACTACTGTTCCTTCTTCACTGTTTCCTACTTTTGCATTCTAGTCATTAACGCGTCCTGATTGTATGTTTGATCAATTTCAGACTATAAAATTTGGTGAAAATTTTCAGTTTCTTCCTTTTTGGTATTAGGTGTGGTATATTCAAGCATATACTTGAATAATAGTAACAAACAAGTCTTCCTTGTATGCATATGATTATTATCCTGTCACTCATAACACTGTATTTCAGGATATAACTCGAAATTGACTTTTTGAGTATGAATGCAACACCATTCTTTCATTTCCTGCATAGTATACCATATGATTATCTGATTCAAAGTGACCATAGCTGGCCCATTGCATCTTACTAATGCCTGATATGTCAATATTCATGTGTTCCATTTCACTTTTAACAATTCCCAGTTTTCCAACATTCAAGCTATATACATTCCATGTACCAGTTGTTAAACAATGTTTATTATTCATCTTCCTCATTTCAACTGACTTCCAATCTGGGCTCTACTACTATACTACTACAACTATCCTCTTTGCTTAATGTTCATAAGGTTTTCAGAAACTTTTTATTTAGGAAGTAGATGGCCCATCCTGCTTCCTAGTCTGTCTTATTCAGGGAGCTCCACCAGAACCCTTCCATGATGGGAAAAGCCTTTCAGAATTTGACACGCCAGTGGCAAAGATTTCAGTATCACAGTAACCACAAGTAATTGAGGTACAGCATACTGACAGACAAGTGCTACACCACTTAGAACAGTGTTCTCTCCAAACACAATCAAGAGCAGGTTGAGGGCCCAGCCAATTTTTAAATATAAGTCCTACCCACCACATCCTTTTTGCCCACACAAGAGGTTTCCCACCCAAGCTTATTGTAAATGAAATTAGATACAGTTAATCAGCTTAAACGCCCAAACATTTTACCTTCAGCTTTCAAGTAAATCACAAACAGCCACCAGGATCCAACTTGGCCAGACTAAAGAATAAAAAGGGAAGAATTCACTCTGTATCTCAAGCTGAAAGAACTGAAAAACAAATTTAAGTCCCATGTCACAATGTTGAAAGATAGTATGGGCAGTATATTGAATCACCCAGAAAGCATCAAAAGAAGAGGGAGGGAATACACCGCTTCATTGTACCAGAAAGGATTGACACTGAAGAATTTCAGGAAATACCATATGAACAGAAGCCAATGGTAATGAAAGGGGAAGTGGAAGCTACATTGAAGGCATTGGCAAAAAATAAGTCTCCCAGAATGTATTAAAAATTATTTTTTTATAACTCTTAAGTATTCAACTGTTTACATTTCATATTTTCTTTTGTTATTTGATGAACATTTGAGTTGTTTCTACTTACTCAATCAAGGTTTAAGATCTACTTACTCAATCAAGGTTTAAGAGTGAATAGTGTGCCACAGTTCAATAGAAAATTCTGTGTAGTCACTGATTTTTCAGTTAGTGGGCTGTGTCATCATTGGTCCTTTTCTTCTCCAGTGTAGTTAACTGAGGTAGTAAAACCTCTGAAGACCTGCTCAAGGCTTGGTTATGAGTGGGTCCTGACTTGATGGTTCATGGCAGCAATACCAATGATTAATTATGTTGAGCATGTTTTCCTGTGTTAATTGGCCATTTGCCCATCTTCTGTCTGTTGAGATAAAATTTTGAACTATGTTTTTTACTTTAAGGATAATGAAGAGTTGAGAGTTAGTTGCCCAGTGGCTACAGAGGATGAACAGGCTCACTGCAGCTCTACTCAGCATCTCAGTATGAGCTCAAGTCCTCCTGTTACTGCGGAACTTCCTACATTAAGGTATAAGATTCTATATAGAAAATTTTGAATAGTAAGATTACTTTTTCATTTGATGTATTGTTGAACTGCTCTTCTGTATTTTATCCCCTTAGCACAACCGAGCAAGAAAAGAATATACCAGAGGAACCCACTATTCAGAAGGATAGCCTCAACCAGACGACTTTACCACTTTCTTCCCCAACTAGTATAAAGCCATCAAGGACAGATACTGCTTCACCAAGTGATAGTATAAATGCAACCCTAGCTGTGGCCCTACAGGTAATAGGACAAATTTGTATGAAGAGGGAGAGGGATGAGATACTAAATTAAGACAATGCGAGATTTCTTTCCTCCTCACATAACTATTTAGGCCACTTTCAAATGAATTTGCTGTAATAAACTGGAGCGGCCTACATCAGGAGCTAAGAGAGTACGTAGTCAGTGTGAATGGAAAAAGGTTAACAGAGTTGGAGAAGTTGTGAAGGAGTATTCTTTTTTTTTTTTAATTGATTTTTTTCTGATCATATAGTTAAGTTGAATTTTGGAATAGTGTAAAGAGGCATGGCCTTGAAATTCTTTCTGTTAAAGAAACGCAAAACTCCATTTCCATTGAGTCAGAACTGGCCCTCTGGCAGTTTCCCAAAGAAATCACACAGAAGATGACCTATCTTTCTCCCTCGGAGCTACTGATAGATTAAAAATGTGTGGGAAATAACACTTAAGATCTTTTCGTTCAGTGATACAATTAGTAGAATTTCAGTATAACCCTTTTCTATAGGTTACGACTATAAAATATTGTCAATACCATCTATAGGTTGTTGTTTAGTGCTTGTTGAGCAAATTAAATGTGATAAAAGATAAATTATTAAGACTTTTCTTATTTCTAGCATATGCAATTTAAAGATTTAAGGCATTTTATTAACATTTATAACAGAATGCCAATGCCTTTTCCTAAGACAATAACTTATTAACATACTTTTTGTACTTTATTCTTCACAGAAAATATACATAAAGTAACTCTATTTTTCAATTATTTCAAAGGAACCTCGAAAGTTAAGCTATGCTGAAGTGTGCCAGAAGCCCCCTAAAGAGCCATCTCCAGTTCTTGTGCAACCACTACGGGAACTTCGCTCCAACGTTGTGTCTCCCACCAAAAATGAAGAGACTGAAACTCCTGAAAAGTCTGTTGAGAAACCACATGATAAGCCAGAAGCAAGGGCTAGTAAGGATTATTCTGGCTTTCGAGGCAACACAGTTCCCAGGGGAGCAGCTGGAAAAATCAGGGAACAGAGACGCCAGTTTGGCCATAGGGCTATACCTCAGGGAGTGACTCGACGTAACGGCAAAGAGCAATATGTGCCACCCAGATCACCAAAGTAAAAAATGTACAAACAAACAAAAACTATTCAAAACCTCTCTCTTCCCATTAAACTTGAGCCATGGCTGTATTGAACTGTTCTGGAGGGGAGGGAGTAGCCAAGAAGAGAACAGGAGGAGAGTAAGTCCTTAAATCTTCATGGATTTTGGTTTTGTGAGCAGTAGAATCCCAAAATTCATCTCTAAAGTGATTTTAAAATGCTGGATGATTCCAATCAGTATAAATATATATATATATATATACACACACACACACACACACACACATATATGCATATATAAGATATAATTTTCTATTTTTGTTTCTGATTTTAATTTGCAGATATTTTTCTGCCTGGAATCAATTTTGAGGGTTCAGATTTAGCTGGGGGAAAAAGAATACACATCCTTCAGCATAGGAGATGAGGGAGTGAGAGAAAATATTTTTTGAAGAAGCATTTCTGTAAAATTAGAAATTACCTTTTTTAAACCTATTTAAAGTTTGGCTTGGAAAATGCCATCTTTGCCTATATGACCTTGTGTTGCAAAGCAGATTATTGGCTTGAGTGCCTGTTGTGGGTGTGAGTGTGTACAAGAGTGATTGAAGCCAAATCTGTTGTCATGTTAGTCAATGATTTGAAAACTGAATGTAATACTTGAGTAGAATTTTTTCCAGTTTGAAATGTAGCCTGTCTCTTTTTATTTTTACTAATATTTCATTCAACAAAGCTGTTAAGCTGATTGTACTTGGAAATGTGACTACCATCCAGTTTAATGCTCAAAGATAAATTGAGGGTTATGCAAAAAAATTTTAAAAATTTCTTTTTAAGCCTCAGTGAATAGGTCAAATGGACTTCAGAGGTTTAAACAACTGCTCTGTGAAATGTTTTTGCCCTTTTTAGGAAGGGGAACATGTTTTCGCTTGTTAATTCACTTGTAACTGAGTACTTTTAACTGCCCACTTCAAAAGCAAAATAACCAACCACCTGCAGAATTGTATTTTCTTTATACTGTGACCAATCTAGTCATATAACAACTGTTCAAAACATCTGAATTTAACTTTGGAGTTCTTTACTCTTTTGTTCACATATTTAGAACTCTAGATCCCAGAATGGCAGGTCATGCCAACGCTACAGTGCTTTATTTGTGTTTAAGGTAACTTGACTCTAAAGTTAAAGGTAACTAACACTAAAGTGTTAGTAAATATTGTAGAAGTAAGAGTTTTTTTAAAAAAGGGTTAATTTGAGGGCAAGTTAATTCTGTTTACAGTATATTTATCTCCTTCCTTCAAAAAAGAAAAAAATAAATACAGTTTGGAATTCACTGAGACAGAAACAGATAAGTCATGATATTTTTAAACTAAAATGAGAAAGATGGTGCAAAAAATTAATGCATAATTTCTCAATAAAGTTGAAGCTCTCATATATTAAATAGCCAAGTTTATGTGCTGGTATTTAGTAAATGGCTAAATAATTAAAAACCATGTTGCATTAATCTTTTTTAAGTCATACCATGTTCCAAGTTCTGTGTAAGGTGGGAGGTGGGATTTTGTTTTCTTTTTAGGGATAATTTGTAATAGTAATAATTGTCATTTATGTTAGTGAATTGCATATGTACAAACAAACTGTAAATTGTGAACACTGGAAAGCACCATTGTGACATAAAATAAACATCTTAGTAATATATTAATGAATGTAAATGAGGTTTAAAATGACATTACTGTGAAACTCACCTTCCAACTCTTAAGCTTTGGAGATTTGTGTTAGTAGGTAATTGTTAAGAGCTTTGAAAACACTGCACATTTCTTTTCTGTATAAAGCAGAAGGACTCTTCCTTTATAACTTATTGCTCAAGCTTAGCAGTTGCTTTTGATTTAATAGATTGATAACATGACATAATATATTTAAGCAGTTTGAAACTATTTGTTTCCACATGCTATTTTTAAAATCTTCTACTAGATGAAACCTAAAATAAAACTACCTGTGCTGAAATTTGGAGTTTAGGCGTTTGGGACAAAAGTATTAATAATCATTGATCGCATCTATAATGAAAGTTTTTATTTTTGTTTACTTAGATTATGCTGCAGTTGGTGGAAATGGTAAACATTTAAAGTGTTAACACTCTGTGATTGCATTGGTTTAAGACAATAAACAATTTGTAAAATCACTTGATAAGGATTATAAACTTAATTATTGTATTTTAAATTAATTTTTTTTTCTTCTGTGTCACTTGATTTAGGCTTTACATGTATGCTTGTGTAACTTTTAATCCACCTAATTTCTAAAAAATGTAAAGATTCTAATGGAAACATGAGAAAAGGAGTCATTTTTCCCCTTCATTTTAACAGCAAATACTTTATTCCTTTACCCAGTGTTATTGATTGAAAGTAAAAATTTCAAGGCATGACTGTTTTTTTAGTTTCTTAGAAACTGTAGCATGTCTGTCTTAATTTGTGTATTTCCATCTAATAGCTCCCTTTCTGGCAGGATGTACTGGGTAATGAGAGTGAATGAGTGTGTGTTAAATGCATATGTCTTATATTCACAATAGTACATATTAGATGTCTTATTTTGTTGGAGCTAATTTAAGGTTTGTATCAAAGTGCTGTCTATGATTTACGTAGAAACTGTTGATTTTTTTTGTTTGTTTATTTATTTGGTTCTTTAGATGGAAGAATTTCAATATCAAATTTGTCTTCACCTCTATAACATAATTCTTGGATTGTTGAAGGTTAAAAATAGATACAAATACTGTTTTGAAACTAATTCTGTGTGATACATTGATCTACTGTAGTTCTTAGTGCATGAAGAGAACAAAGTGGCCCAAGTTCTGTTTCATTAAGTGCATGTAGACATTGCAAACATCTAGCTCCATTTTCTCTCCAGATAATTAATGCTTTCATAGTCTCCAGGCATCTCTTTAATGTGAGTAATTTCATTTTTGCCAGTTACAGACACTAGCATTCAGAATAGTGGTCCATCTAAATGGTTTTCAACTGGATTTTGGAAAAAGGCAGTATCTTTTAATGATATGTGTTCTGTCTTAAATGTTGCATTTGTGTGTCACCAACTGGCAGCAGAATTTTTCATTTTTAATTCTAAAATTAAAGTATCTGGATTACTTTTTTAAATTCCATTTTCTTTTTAGATAGCCAGGTAGGTTTTGCAAAAGGCTTAGTGTTTGTTACACTTGCTAGTATAAAAGATAACAAATATATTGCTGGAACAGAAAATAGTATTGAAAAGTTACTTCTTAACACTTTCTCTAGTTAGTTATGGCCTCAGTATTTAGAATCTTAGCTTAAAATGTCCACTGATTTTACTTTGACACAATTGAACAACACTGGGATTAAGTCTGTGATACTTATGTTAGAAATACAAAGTGTTTTTTTAAGTACCAATTTATTTGCAGAAAATAAAAGGTTTATCAGTGTGTTGCCTTTTCATGGGTTTTTGTACACTCTTAAATATATTTTCTATATCATTATAATTTGGTGGACACTAATTTAACTTGAGGCTTTTAAAATTATGTAGCTACTCTGAGCTTCTAAGAGGATATGAAGACAGATCAATTTTCATAGCCTAAATGGGTATTATTTAAGGAGTTAAAAAGTTTGTTTTCAAGTGTAGTTGGGAATACCTTCTCTTTTGAATTTCACCTGATTATTAAGTAACTTTTTTAATTTTTAAAAGCTGAGGGCTTTTTATGAATCTTTTGAGTAGACAAAAATTTCTAAAAGTGCAACTCCGATATCAACAGACTGCATAAAATTATTTTGTTTTCAGCTTTGCAGCATATCACATCAATATCAGCTTTTTAAAAAAAATCAACATAAGCGTCCATTGAATGGCATCTCTTAAATGTTGGGAGTTGGGGGTCAGACCAGTTATCTGGCTTCTTTTTTGTCCATTGCTTTTCGGATTGCTCCTGTTGTCAAAACTGTTTCGGTTTCGGGTTTTGTTTTGTTTTTTAATGGTATGACATGCTCATGCATAAAATGTTAAAATTAGTACATCCTTGTATTTGTATTTTGTTTTCAACATTGCCAAGGTGCTATGGGAAATTAAAGTAACACAAAATTAGAAAAAAAATAAAATTATTAAAAAGCAGAACTGGTTTCCTTTTCTCTAGGAAAAATATGTCTTATGCACGGCAGATTATTTATTTTACTTGTTTCCACTCTAGTTTCCTGTTTTGGTAGGGTTTACTGATAATTTTGTTGGAGGGAGGGAGTGTTATATCTTTTGTAATAAGGCAAGTATTAAGGTTTGTGATTCTGGGGCTGGTTTAAATGCTTGGAATATTAAAAGGCAATTTAAGATAGTCTTTAATATTAATTTAATGATTTAATATAAATAAATTTAATATTAATAATAATTTACTATTAAGAGGAATATTGATAGGCAAGAACTCTCAGGGCATCTAGACATCCCTTCTCTCTTTACTACCAACTAGAAACTCCTACACATTTGCTTTGATTATCAAATGCCGTGAAGGTGTGTGGGAACTCTGTCAAAGGGGGAAAGTGTAGTAGGAAGTTTAAATGGGCCTTTCTATCTTAATTTTTTACAAATAGAGGTTTTTTAAAAACTGAAAAGTCTTACAGAAACTAACTTCATACCAACTGTATATATAAATCATTGTGGTGGTGATGTTGATAGGTGCTATTGAGTCAATTACAACTCAGTGGTTCTGTGAACAATGGCATAATCTTGCCCTTCCCTGTGCCAGTGTCAGGATCTCCGATATGTTGAAGCCCATCCATTGTTGTAGTTATTGTGTCCGTCTCCTTTCAGTCTCATTCTTTCTTGCTGAACCTCTCCAATTCTCAGAGAGCTCTGGTGGTCTAGCGGTAAAGAGATGCACTGACAAATCCAACAAGGGAGAAAATTAGGCATTGTCTTCCCATACAATTTACAACCTCTGAAAACCTACTGGAGGCTGAGCTATGAGTCAGTGTCAACTCAAAGGCTCATAACTACCTTTCCCAGCAAGGTGTTTCCAAGGACAGGTCCCTCCTGACA